CGGTGGCAGGTAGCCACATGCCCGGGTGCCCGTGGGTGCCTGGTGCCCCAAGATTTCGGTGGCCGGTGGCCGGGTGGCTGGGTGCCCGGGTGCCCGTGGGTGCCCGGATGCCCGGTTGTTCGGGGGTGCCAAGAGGTGCCCGTGGGTGCCTGGGTACCCCATAGCCATATAGCCCTATAGCCTTATAGCTCTGTAGCCCAATAGCCCGATAGCCCATATAGCCCATATAGCCTTATAGCCGGATAGCCCTATAGTCCTATAGCCCTATAGCCCTATAGCTCTATGGCCGTATAGCCCTATAGCCCTAGAGCCCTGTAGCTCTAGAGCCCTATAGCCCTATAGCCCTATAGCTCTATAGCCCTATAGCCCTATAGCCCTATAGCCCTATAGTCCTATAGCCCCATAGCCCAATAGCCCTATGGCACTACACCCCTATAGCCATATAGCCTATATAGCCCTATAGCCCCATAGCCCTATAGTCCTGTCCTATAGCCCCATAGCCCCAACAAAAAATCTGATAGGGTTTCTCCGGTATCATGTATATGTATACATGCATGCATGTATGTAAATATGTATGTATATCTGGACTTATCTCCCATTGTTTTCGCTTATGAATTCAAATATGATCGTGGTCCCTCGTCCATCCCTAATCTGAGTTCATACCATCCCAGCCGGGCCGGTGTCCACCCCACCCCGCCACCGTCAGCAACAAATACTCTGCGCGCGCTCTCGTTTATAACAAAATCACCAGTTGTCAAGCATCCCTTGCAACAAATGGGACGAAGTGCGCACGCGCGCGTCGTCGCGCGCAAGTGCCGAAGTCTTTGGACATCCTTTGGTTTCGTAAAGATTTCAAGATCGAATGCCACAACAACATGTAAACACATTGTTTTGTAACATGGCTTTCCAAACAACAATTTGTACCCGCACTCTTGCGAAATATTAAGAGAATCCGTAGGTTCTCCGGTATTTTCGTAAGATGCTTCCAAAGTGGCGTCTCGCGCGCTCGTGTCGAAACCGTTCGAACGCCCTTGCGCGCGTGCTGTCGAAACAAACCCTTGCAACAGATTTGACGAAGTGCACACGCGCGCGTCGTCGCGCGCATGCTGAAATCCTGGAACAACTTTTGTCAAGCTCGAGTGTCCCGAACCCCCTAACAACACATGGTTTTGCAACAGTGATTTCCAAAAGTAAGTGTGCGCGCGCGTTCTTGCGGATTCTTAAAGAAACCCTGAGTTTCCAACATTTTCATAACATGCTTCCAATTCGGCCTCTCGCGCGCGCGTCGATATCGTTCGCACGCCCTTGCGCGCGTGCAGTCGTAATAATCTTTTGCAACGTATATGACAGAATGCACACGCACGCGTCGTCGCACGCGCATGCCGGAACCCTTGAACAGCCGTCGGTCTTGTGAGGGTTTCAAATTCGAGTTTTCCGAATACATATAAAACCACACGGTTTTGCAACATCCGTTTTCAAAAATTCATGCGCTCGCGCTCTGGTGGATTCTTCAAGAAACCATCGGTTTCCAACATTTTCATCACATTGTGCCGGACGGGCCTCTCGCGCGCTGCATGTCGAACTCGTTCGAAAGCCCTTGCGCGCGTGTTGGGGGGGGGCGCGATCCTTGTCAAATGATACCACGTGGGCCATTCGCGCGCGTCGGCCGCGCGCGCATGCCGAACTTCTTCAAAACTTTCATCGCCGACGCGAAACCATTGTCATCGTTCTCGGCGGGCGTGATCAACATCGACGCCGTCATTGGCCTTGCCGTCGTCATCGCCAGCATCGTCACCATCATCGCTATTTTCATATTTGTGTCTACCGTTGCGTTGTCGGCGTCGCCAGGATGCCGCGCCCGGCCCAATCACCGACTCGTGCTGACATGCTCGCTGGGAAATGCCCAGCGGTCAGCGCCACCGCAGCCGCGTCGGCCGCGCCCAACTAGCTGACCGCTGTGCGCGCGAGCATGTGCGGGCTAGCGCGGTCAGGAATGCACCAACCAACGCCAAGCACTCACCGCAATCTCCGCCGCAGGAGTTTTGCAGTTGCGGGTGCGTGGGTGGGATGTTCGCAAGAGCGTGGAATTTGTGAACTCATACTCGTTTGTAAACATCAATTCTCCTTCTAGAAAGAGAAAAGACTCGACCTCCCCTTGTCCGCACCCCTTTTCATATTACAATTTGCATATGATTCTGCCCCATCGTCCACGTTACATATGAATTCGTACCATCCCAGCCCAACCGGTATCGCCCCTCCCACGCCATCCTCAGCAAAAAACGCACTGCGCGCACTCGTTTATCAAAACTCAAAAGTTTCCAAAAATCCTCTGCAACATATATGACGAAGTGCACACGCGCGCGTCGTCGCGCGCGCATGCCGGAATCCTTCACATACCTTCGGTTTCGTTAGGATTTCAAAATCGAATGTCCAAACGACATGTAAAACAAACCTGGCTTTGCAACACGGATT